TTAAAAAAAAAAAAAAATTTATTGGAGTATAGTTGATTTACAATGTTGTGTTAGTTTCAGGTGTATAGCAAAGTGAATCAGTTATACGTATAAATATATCCATTCTTTTTCAGATTCTTTTCCCACATAGGCCATTACAGAGTATTGAGTAGAGTTCCCTGTGTTGTACAGTAGGTCCTTATTATTTATCTATTTTATATATAGTCGTGTGTATATGCCAGTCCCAATCTCCCAATTTACCCTCCCCCTGCTTTCCCCCGGTAACTGTAAGCTTGATTTCTACATCTGTAACTCTGTTTCTGTTTTGTAGATAAGTTCCTTTGTGCCCAAAATATACTTTTAAATTACATCATTCCAGACCAACATTAAAAACTTATATTTTGCTTATGTTGCTAGAGTTAGTCAGAATTGCTTTACAAATATGAAAATCACTATTATCTTATTAGACAATATAAGTAAATTATTTTAAAATCAGAAAAAAATAACCAAAATAAAAAATTATTATTTACCTACAATTCAAACTTGAGATAACATCCCTGTTAACAATTTGTTATATTTACTTATTATTTGTTATATTATTATTACATGTATACCTTGCCATATGTCAGTATTTTAAAACATAATTTGTATCAGTTTATATACATTTTTTAGGAATGTCTATAAATTTTTATGAATATATATCTTAAAATTCTCTATGATCTAAGTTCTTTATGTCTGTGACATGCATTTTCCCTTGAAATTATACTCCTTTCCAAATCAGTGAGTATACATCTACAGCAGCATTAAATAGTAGCACCAAATTCAAATCATCATATACCATTGTCTGGATAGACCACAATTTATTGCCCCAATGCCTGTTGCTGGACATTTAGATGTTTTTTACTATTACACTGCTGTGGTAGATATTCTCGTGGATAAATCTTTTCATCCTTGGTTAGAAGCAGATTTGCTAGAGCAAAAGAATATGTATTTTTAAGGCTTGTCATACATATGGTGAAACTTTCCTTCAGAAAGGTTGTAGAGATAGTGATTCTTGGATGCTTCGTAAACTTTTCATTGTGCTCAGATCAAAGTGTGTTCGTAAATATCCTGACAACCCTCATTCAATGCCAGTTGTTACCAGTGGCTTATTTCAGTTGTCATTAAACAATGGTCACAATGAAAATGGTTTCCTGAGAATCCATTGAAATGCTGCCATAATTTCAGCAGTTGTGGAGTGGATCTTCTCCTGCTG